CTTGAAGAAAGCCAGGCATAAGCAGCATAGCATAACATGTAAGGGCAAGTAATTTTGTGATCCATCGATAGCCTACCCTGAACATGACTTAACAATTAAAATCTCAAAGTAAAATCACATTTCCAAGGCTTTATACATGAACTAAATGTGAGTCTCTGCAACTAAGCAACAACGAGATGTATCATATAACGAGCACACAGTACTCAAAGCCAGCTAATAATGTAATTTAACCATATCACGAATTTCTTGAGCGTAATCATCATCAGTATACGAAATTCCCCCAAAACCTCCGAAGGAAAATAGAGATCAAGTACCCGAGGTATCGAAGAAGTTTGAAGCTGAGTCCAGTAATTAGGTAAGTCTCAGCTGCCGCGTGACCGATATCGCGACCGAACGATTGCTGCCGGAAAATATTCCGACGTTGTCCTCCGTTCACCGGAGACTTCCCAATCACTCGACGGCGAACCGATTCCGGTGAAGAAAATCCGTTAGAGCCGTTAAGAAGAGTCGTTCTATCGGATTCCTCGGGTATAACCTCCTCGATCTCCGATACCGTCGAAGTCATCGGACAGCATCGCTCCGGCTGCTGAGTCTCCAGAGGCGAATGCATCCTCGCCGTGAAATATTGGATCTCGATTCCGAGATTATTCTCTCTTCTTCTTCGTGTTTCGTTTGGTTTGATGCTGTTTTTGGTTCTCTCTCTCAAATTTCAAACTCTCTGTATCTTTTGCTTTTGTGCGCTCTCTATGTTGTTCCCTACTCCAAGAGGAAATACTGTAGATATAACCAAACGTTATCCGGGACGACGTCGTTTTATCAATGTAATTGTGGCATGCCAAAATATCAAGTTTAATGAACTGAAATATTTGGATTAATGCTAATGATCCTTCAAATAATTAAAGATTTGATGCTAATGATATGAAAACTCGGCTTTACTATTTATTTTATTTTAATTTTTGTCAATCATTTTGATTGGATGATATGATAATGATGACTTCGTAATTTGGGTAGGACATCTTCTTTTTCTTTTTATTATAACCAAATTTGAAAAAATGTATTTTGCAAAAGGATTAACTGGTGGGTCCCTCTTATGACGAATATTTCAGAATATTAGAGAGAAAATCCACCACTTTCACAGATTCACGGAAGAATCACGATCATGTGGCAGTGGCACACTCACCAACCACTAGAACGTACCACCTTCATCTTCTTCTTCTGTTTTGCATCAATACACCGTCGTAATGTTTTTTTTTTTTCTTTTTGACCAATTGATAAATCCGTAAGAAATTCAAATTCTTAATAGTACTAAGACCATCATTAATATT